GATGGTTGTGGTCTTAAAGCAGGTGGGAACGATGCTCTGGCTGAGGGAAAGGTTGAAGATGGTGGTGAGAACATCAGCCAGCTCGCTGGCACATGCCCTATGAGTCCTCTCAGGGATGTTGTCCGGTCCTGCCGCTTTGCAGGGGTCGATGTTCCTCAGGACTGTGCGTACCTGGCCTGGTGAGACAGTTAGTGGAGGGGAGGTGGGGGGTTGGGTGGTCTCGGTGTGTGTGTGTGCCTCCTCTCTGTGTTGTGGCTGGAGGTCTCAAAGTGGGTGTAGAAGGTGTTGAGGTCATCCGGCAGGCTGTCTGTGGAGCTGATGATGCTGGTGGTGGTCCTGTAGTCTGTGATGTGCTGTAGGCCTTGCCACATCCGTCCGGAGTCAGCAGTAGAATAGAAGAATGGATGAACAAAACAAAAAGAAATGTCAGTTTCAAAGGGCATGGCTATAGCAGCAGATTAAAATGTGACCAAGCTTTAGAGGTGAATCACATTCTTGTTACTTTGTCTGTTTGTGCGCACATGCCTGTCTTTTCAGCAGCAAATTCTCAGATTGATTGCCAGTATGACATCTCGCTGCACCCTGAAGGTTAATCAGTTTGGTATAAAGCTCATGTCCTGTGTGAATCATACTGTATAACTGTTATTAAGGCAGTAGGGGTAACATAAAACAATTACAGCTTCCTGCCAAAACTGGCACCTCACACCCCTACAACAGTGACAGGGTGTAACAGACCACTGTAAAGCAGACTGGCTTCATGGTCTTTAGTGTCCCATTTTTAAACTATCTGCATTTATTATTATTACAGTTTTTCTTGTTTCTTCTTCATGTTTGAAGGACCATGAGAGATGAACAAAGAGCAGAAAACATTAAGTAAAGCTCTCAGTAGGACTGTAGTCCTAACATTCATAAGAACATGTTAGAGTGAGAAACCATGTTGTCTTTTCCTTCTGAGTAAGATTATAGACTAATCCGAAGCTGATTGTGCAACACAATATAAACCTTTGCAATCAGGCTACACAGAATAGGAGGTGCCGCTGGCAAAGTGCATATGCATGCATGTACATGAACCCATACTGCATAATTAATATTATAGTGCAATATTATTAAAGAGAGCAGCTGCATTACCAGCTCTGGCCTGAGGATGGCAGCACCACCTCAGGTAGTGTGATGCCAGGCCTTAGCAATTCCTCCAAGGAGCAGAGAAGATGATATTGTAAGATAAATAGGGCTACATAATTTTAGTGCTCCATAAAACATCTGAGACCCTGAACAAGAACACATGCAGATTTTGAATGACTGGCACTGTCCCTTTTTACTGCTCTGACCATGTTGGTTTTTGCCTTTTGCATAGTGTTGTCATAAAATAGCTTGTTTGCTCTGGTTGCCCTTAATTGTAAAGGTCTATTCTTAGTTAGCAGCACTATTCACTCATTTTGACATGGCAACAAGACAAGTAAATGAAAACCTGTCTTCTTACAACCTTGCCTGTGTGAGCGTTTACTGTATATAGACTTGAATGCAGGTGACCTGTGACTGACACATAACCCATTCTAATAGGGAGCTGAATTAAGGATCTCACAGTGTTTGTAAATGAGAGATTTCAATTATTGTTTTCTAATAAATTTGCAAAAACATCCATTTTGAGTAAACTGATTGTCAACGTTATCTATTTGACATTTTTCTGAAGCAGTGGTAGAGTTTCAGAGTTTTGTTAAAACAGAGGATCTGAGATTTAACACAGTAGTCGATTGGTTCTGCAGAAAAAGCTGGAGATGAGAGAGTTATTTTGTGTCTAATTCCATCTCCTCTACCAAATCCAGAGCTGTAAACAGCAAGTATCTAACATCTTTGTTTGGCTATGCTGTCAAAAAGAAACCTAGAATTGTTAATATTTTTACCGATTAAGGAAAAGAAATGTGTCGCTCTAGCAGCAGACAGAGTAAGCCTATACACACTTGCGTCACTGGAGCTAGAACACTTCCAGTTTTGATTTTCACCATTTGCACTCCAGTCTCCTGCAGTCCTGCTTAAAGGAGAAGTGCAAACTGAATCCAGGACACTAGACAGTGACTAGGCCATTTTCCCTACTAGCCAGGCCACTAGACATTGACTAGTCCATTTGCCCTACAGGGAATAAATTTTAATTTGTCACATACTGTAAACATTATACAGACAATGGCAATAAAAGCCCCGATCCCCACTGTGCACGATGACTAGAAATAAATAAGCACTGTAAAAGCTTAAATAAATAGGAAAGGGAAGGTTTCAAAAAGCAATAAAGAATAAAAATAGAATTTTAAAAATTCACCAGTGTCCAAATTTGCAGCTGTAGCAGTGCTCCTATCAGTGTTTGTGTGGGTGTGACAGAGAGGGAGTTCACACTGAGCACTCAGATGGCCTGTGAAAGAAGTTCTTTCTGAATCTCTCAGCGCTCATATAACAGCCTAGCAGCAATAACAGGTACAGGTAACCCAGTAACTCACTATAGCAGCTCTTCACAGGCTCTTCTAGATTCATGTGCTGTTGTTTGTTTTTAATGATAAAAGTAAAAAGCCAAATGATCAAATCTTTTCATAGAAGTGACCTGTTCAGATTTAGTTCACTGTTTCACAGAGGTGTGGATTCAACCTTATTGTCATTTTGGAGGCTGATATAAACGGGGTGGACACAATAACAAACACACAGTACATGGTTCAGGGCATTTTCACTATTCCTTGTTGTCCGCATGGCAGGTTAGGTCCACAAAGAGAAATTAATTTCTATACTACAGAAGACACAGGAATTAGGATTTAGCTAGACAGTTTGCTGTTTGAACCTGCGGCCATATTCCAAGTAACAGTTTTCCTCTTCTTTTTGTATTCAAATTGCTCTGTTTCCTCTCGGTTTAGGGGATTTTTGCTGCCAGGGAGCTTGTTCCAAAGTATGTTAACATTTTGGTGAGAACTGCACACATGCTGGATGGTCTGTCCCTAGCTGTGCCAATTATATGGGCTAGAATAGAGCAGAGGCTGGGAGCATGTGGCACTCTCAAACCGCAGGACTGGAATTTAGCTGCCTACTCAGAGGCTCTGCTTTAATACCTCAAATTGATTGAGTACATCCTCCATGTG